AAACTCTATATTTTGCATATTTTAACAGTAGATCGAAACCATCGAATTTGCGATTTTCAGTAAGTTTCTCAAAACTCTAATATTTTGCATATTTTAACATGTGCGATCGTAAAACCATCGAATTTGTGATTTTCAATAATTTTCTCAAAACTTATATTTTGCATATTTTAACATGTACGATCGCAAAACCATCGAATTTGTGACTTTAAGTAAATTGCTCAAAACTCTAATATTTTGCATATTTTAACATGCACGATCGTAAAACCATCGAATATGTGATTTTCAATAAGTTTCGAAAAACTCTAATATTTTGCATAGTTTAACATGTACGATCGTAAAACCATCGAATTTGTGATTTTCAATAAGTTTCTCAAAACTCTAATATTTTGCATATTTTAACATGTGCGATCGAATTTGCGATTTTCAATAAGTTTCTCAAAACTCTAATATTTTGCATATTTTAACATGTGCGATCGTAAAACCATCGAATTAGTAATTTTCAGTAAATTTCAAAAACTAAAATTTTACACATTTTAACATGTACGATCGTAAAACCATCGAATTTGTGATTTTCAGTAAGTTTCTAAAAACTAATATTTTGCGCATTTTAACATGTGCGATCGAATTTGCGATTTTCAATAAGTTTCTCAAAACTTATATTTTGCATATTTTAAACACGTCACGATCGTAAAACCATCGAATTTGTGATTTTCAATAAGTTTCTCAAAACTCTAATATTTTACACATTTTAACATATTCGATCGTAAAACCATCGAATTTGTGATTTTCAATAAGTTTCTCAAAACTCTAATATTTTACACATTTTAACATATTCGATCGTGAAACCATCGAATTTGTGATTTTCATTAAGTTTCTCAAAGCTCTAATATTTTGCATATTTTAACATGTGCGATCGTAAAACCATCGAATTTGTGATTTTCAATAAGTTTCTCAAAACTCTAATATTTTGCATATTTTAACATGTGCGATCGTAGAACCATCGAATTTGTGATTTTCAATAAGTTTCTCAAAACTCTAATATTTTGCATATTTTAACATATGCGATAGTAAAACCATCGAATTTGTGATTTTCAATGTTTCTAAAAACTCTAATATTTTGCATATTTTAACATGTGCGATCGTAAAACCATCGAATTTGTGATTTTCAATAAGTTTCTCAAAACTCTAATATTGTACACATTTTAACATATTCGATCGTAAAACCATCGAATTTGTGATTTTCAATAAGTTTCTCAAAACTCTAATATTTTGCATATTTTAACATGTGCGATCGTACCATCGAATTTGTGACTTTAAGTGAGTTTCTCAAAACTCTTATATTTTGGATATTTTAACATGTACGATCGTAAAACCATCGAATTTGTGACTTTAAGCGAGTTTCTCAAAACTCTTATATTTGGCATATTTTGACATGTAAGATCGTATAATCATCGAATTTGTGACTTTAAGTGAGTTTCTCAAAACTCTTATATTTTGCATATTTTAACATGTCCGATCGTAAAACCATCGAATTAGTGATTTTCAGTAAATTTCAAAAAATAAAATTTTACACATTTTAACATGTACGATCGTAAAACCATCGAATTTGTGATTTTCAGTAAGTTTCTAAAAACTCTAATATTTTGCGTATTTTAACATGTGCGATCCTAAAACCATCGAATTTGTGATTTTCAATAAGTTTCTCAAAACTCTAATATTTTGCGTATTTTAACATGTGCGATCGAATTTGCGATTTTCAGCAAGTTTCTCAAAACTCTTATATTTTGCATATTTTAACATGTGCGATCGTAAAACCATCGAATTTGTGATTTTCAATAAGTTTCTCAAAACTCTAATATTTTGCATATTTTAACATGTGCGATCCTAAAACCATCGAATTTGTGATTTTCAATAAGTTTCTCAAAACTCTAATATTTTGCATATTTTAACATGTGCGATCCTAAAACCATCGAATTTGTGATTTTCAATAAGTTTCTCAAAACTCTAATATTTTGCATATTTTAACATGTGCGATCGTAAAACATTCGAATTTGTGACTTTCAATAAGTTTCTCAAAACTTATATTTTGCATATTTTAACATGTGCGATCGTAAAACAATCGAATTTGTGATTTTCAGTAAGTTTCTCAAAACTCTAATATTTTGCATATTTTAACATGTGCGATCGTAAAACCATCGAATT